CTTGCGCCTGGCAGCCATCTCCGATTCCCAGAAGCCTCAAGCCACTCAAGCTACTCAAGCCACTCAATCTACTCAAGCTACTCAAGCTACTCAAGCTACTCAAGCCGCAGCGGGGCCAGCGGGGCCAGCGGCACTGGCTGGCTTCAAAAGGCGCAGCGGGACGTCTGAGAGGCCACTGCTTGGCCTGAAGAAGGCCAAGCAGTCAGAAGACAGCCAAGCTCCAAGGGATGGCAAAAAAGAGGCTTCGCCTTGCCAAAGTGGGAGTAGCTTTGATGATCACTTGTAGATGCCTCGGAGAAATAGTCCTCTGCCCGGGTTTGGGCTCAGGCTGTCATCGAGGAGTATTTTGGGTGACGGATAAAAGGGAGCCGTTGCTGCCTGCCGCTAAGCCTTGATCCCATAGGCTTGTCGGCGTGCATGCTGGATAGGGGTGGCAGATACCGTACGTACCAGGTATCCATTTTGGGCAAGTACCGAGGGTGGAGCAAGCCCCGTTCCCGATGCAGGGGCAGCACGCGAGCCTGTAGCGATGCAGTATTGTCTAGTCCTGCTGGCACAACAGCAAAGATAATAGCCTCACCATGTGCCCTAGCTGTTCCACTGCTGTGTCCACTGTCCACCAGCACAACCCGCCGCATAGGCGCAGACGACGACGATGGCCGCGGGTCAGACGAATGTGCAGCCCGACAGAGACCGACCGCAATCCTCGCCTCCCTGTCTGAAGCATCTGAAGCACTTGCACCCACGCATCGTGGCGTTCCTGGCAAGCCGGCCCTTGCTGCTGCGATTTCTGGAGGCTGGGGCATGAAATTGCAAAAAGACCGCGAGAGACTTGAAAGGCACGGGAGGGAGAAGGAGGGCGAGAGAGAGATTTGCTCCCCTTCTCGGGAGCAGAGCATGGCAGAGCTGTGAGAAGAAGAAGAAGAAGAGAGATTCAACTGTTGCACGCGGTCAGCTGTTGGCGTGTTGGGTACCTGATACATGAGTGGGCCTCATGTCCACTTGGATGCTGCAGACAGCCGAAATCCGTGCACGGGCTGTGCAACGCAAAAAGTCAGAGACGCCTGACGGGCCGAAATGACATGGGTACTGTCCACCCGAGGTGATAAGGGCTGCTAGTGCATCTTTGCACGTTGTCCTTGTACTCTGCGGAGTCCACAGCAATCCGCGGCACATGCTTTGATCCACTGAAACGCTGGATCGGAAACATGCGCATGTTATCCGCGAACATTGCTTGGGCAGTGTGCTACTGGAGTAGTGTGTGATGGCAAGGATAGGTTGCGGAAGGGTGGATAGTTATGCCGGTCTTCCTGTAGCAGCTTCATGTGTGTCTAGCAACGGATGCAAATATGCATTGCCTGCATTGCAATGCATAATTCAGCTTTTGATTGCAGCAGAGTCACCCTCCAAGTAATTTCACAGCCTGCCCGAGAAGTGAAGGCTAGGTGCTGGATGTTCTCTAGTTGGCTCTGGGAGCCAGATGAGCGGCATTCCGGGGATGCGGACACATGGCCAAGGGGCGTAGCCCCTGCGCACTCCGTTGTTTCTTTCAAGTTCACTCCTTCCCTTCTGCAGCCCTAAGCGGATATAGCACGTGCCGTGTGGGGTGGGTGGGCCTTCCCTGTGAAACTGCTCCCATGGATTGTCTTGAGCATATGCAGACGACCAAGTGGAATTTCAGCCCTGCAACATGTTGAGCTTGCTTTCTTCCTCTTGGCCTCTTACTGTACGGGTTGTGATACATTTAGCTGCTCATGTTTGTGATGGAACACCTATTGAAAAGCGTGAATGTACGGAAAGGAGACAGTGAGAGCTTGGGGGGGCACACAAACGTGAGGTTTTTCCCCATTCCGATCGCAAACCGAGACCAAGCAAGGGACAGAGAGCGTATTTTGCCTGGAGAAAAGCAAGCAAGGGACAGAGCGAGCGTATTGGGCCTGGCGAAACCAAGTAAGGGACAGAGAGCGCATTTTGCCTGGTATCTCTGGGCCTTCGTGTTCAGGCTCAGCCTTGTGTTCTGGAAAGCTTGAGCAGCCGCAGCGTGGCGGTTTTGGTGCGTCTTCTTCGTGCATCACTGAGCTCCAAGATCAAGCCTGACTGTCCGAGCAACCCCAAGCTTGTAGCTCCTTGACAGCTTTTGGCTTTGGTCTACTCTGGTTAAGGGCCAAGGCGGCCAAGGGCTGGTGCTGAGGTGGTTGTCTCGGGCATTGCAGAGGCGGCTGATGAAGCTGAGATCGCTCGACTTCTGAAAAATCAAGGCCTTGAGGCTGAGATCCAAGTGCCGCGAGAGAGCAAATTTCGCCACCCATGCAGCACGGCCTATTTACAGTGCCTGGGCTGTTTGTTGCAAAGGGCGGGCTTTAGGTACTGCTACAGAATATAGAGTGAATTGTGCTGGCAATCGAACAAAGGAGGGAATGAGTAGCTGAGGTTCAGGTCGGAGGAGAGTGCTTTGGCCGCTTCGCGGCTGCTGCACAACCACTGCCTCCAACAGAACCGCGGCAAGATCTCTGCAGAAGTGGCAGCCACAGAAAGAAGATGGCAGCCCGCTGAGCCCTCGAAGGCGGCGAAGAGAGTTCAGTGGCCAGATGATGGCCTCTGCAGGGTTGTCATTTGCCCTGAGGACGGTGGATTCGAATTCGGATTCCAGGGTGCATCGCGTTTTAAGGGTTTAAGATTGTGCAGCTCCGGGTTTAAGGTTTCGGGGTTGAGGGTTGGAGACTTGAGGGTTGGTTAAGGCTGTATGGTTCTGCTGCAAGGAGGAGCCTGTGGAATCCGTGGGCAAGCGCCTCTGCAGCTCCCAGAAAACAGTTGCCTGAAAACAGCTGCTTCGCATCCACATGTGGATTGGACCCATACCCACACCGTTCTCAAGAAAGATGAGCCCAAATGACTATCACCTCAAAGCAACGATTTTCAGTGAGATGGCAGGACGTCAAAACCACAAACTTTCAGACAACATGTTAAATCGAAATGGCAAGAAGGCCAAACCACAAACCTTCAAATACCTGTTCCTTTGGAAAGCAGCAGAGCAAGGGCGCAAAGTAAGGTCTCAAGATGCGCAAATATGTGTGTGTCCACCTTCCCAGATTCAAACTAGCTTGCATTCATTCAGACACTCGACGCTCAGCATTCTTCAGCTGGTCAGTCAAAAAACCTGGCTGGACTTGCAGCCTTGTTAGGCTCTTTTATCATTTCAGGAAGCACACGCCAGTGGACGCATTATTTTAAGGTGTACCCTCTGCAAGCACACGTGCAGACTTCATCCAGTTCATCTGACTTCATTAAACTCTGGCATGCGTCTCATATGATCAGACCCGTCTTGCCATGGAAATTCCGGCGCCCACTCGGTCAATCATATTGGATGAGGACTTCGAGATGGAATCGGCACTGAAGCTTGTGGGTCTGAAGTCTGCTGCACACCTAAACGGAAAGGCATGCTATGCCCACAGATTCAATAGTGTCACTCGACGGTATGAGGTGAAGCTCATGGAATTTAACGAAATCAAGAGCGTGCAGCCTTTCAACTTGGAGCCGTTGCCCATCATGGATGGAGTCGCAGCTTGGGTCAAGTTCTTGCAGCGAGATGATTTGGGCGAGAGCGAGGGCATGGTGGCCCTGAGACAACTGGACAGAGTAAACATCACAATCGAGATGCTGCAGCAGACGAAGGTGGCCAAGATTGTCAAAGCTTTTTCCGCGCGATTCTCAGAGAGCACCGTGGGTGCCACGGCTCAACGGCTTTTTGCAAAGTGGCGAGCATATTTTGCAAAGCAGGCAGCAGAGGCAAAGGCCAAGCCGCTGCGAAAGGCACGCGCAGGGCTTGCAAAGTCCAAGCCAGAGCCGTCCGTGCCAGAGGCCGAACGATGCTTGGCCTTGGAGGCACCCGGCCAGCAGTGCCAGAATCGCCGACAGTTGCCCCAGCTCTTGTGCCCAACTCACCAAGCAATGAATCAGGCAGACCGCCTCCCTTATGGCCTCCACTTGGGTGGCAAAATTGGAGCAAAGAAATCCAAGACCAAGGACTCCGGGCTCGATATACCGCCCAAGTCCCCTGGCCCACCAGGATCCGCAAACCCTTCGAACCCTTCCAGCCATGTGAAGCCCATGGCGTGCCCTTCAGATGCCAAGCCCTTGCTGGAGGCCATGCGTGCTGCGAGCACGGAGAACTCTCGTTTGGATACGCTAGCGGCTCTGGACAAGTCCCCGAAGCACTGCATGTTGCAATTCATCCAAGACGGTGGTCTTGAGGTGTTGGAAAGATGGCTCCGGAAGAGCCCTGATGCGCGGCTCACCTGCCTGAAGGTTTTGCAAAAGCTGCCAGTGGCTTTGCCCAACCTTCAAAAGGCCAACCTGATACCGGCTGTAGAGGCCATCCAGGAGCAAGAGTCGAGCGCGCAGGCGGCAGCGGTCCTGGAGCGCTGGAGGTCCGCGGGCTTCCTGTCCGAGACCCACCGGGCGGCAGGTCCAGCGGCTGCAGCGGGTTCGCCGGAGGAGGCCGAGGCCATGGCAGAGGCCTTCGGTGAGCCGTCTTCAAAACGTTTGAAGACAGACAAAGACCACCCGACCTCTCGGAAGGAGTTGGATTCCTTGCAGAAACCCGCTGCCAGTGGGCCTGGGCCGGAGCCCTTCCTGGTGGAGCCCGAGGCGGAACCTTTGCCACCAGGACCGCAGCATCTGCAGCATCCGCAGCCCCGCACACCGCCGCTGACGCACCTCCCTGCCGCCAGACCTGAGGATATTCCGGAAGAGCTGCAGGGCCTCGATCCTCGCATCGCCTTGGTTTTGATGCAGAACCCTGACATGCTACAATTCTTGCGGAAGCATCCATCGGTCCTGCAGGACTTGGATTCAGAAAAGATTGCAAACATATGCCGTCTCTACAAGAACGCACGCGAGTCCAACCAAGCGCTGGGAACTAGCGATGCCACCGGCTGTACAGTGTCTCGGGTGAGTGTCCTATGAAAGGTTTGGTCGTTGTTCTTAACCCACAGTAGACTCTCGGTGGACCCATGTGCACCTTTATTTTGGAGCCAGAACTCTTTTCTGAGGTCACAGTCTCAAACCTTGATCCGGACATCTCCGAAGCTGATATTGTCCACCTCCTCAGCGACGTCGGTCTTACGGCTACCAGGGTAAATCTGCCAAGAGAGAGCCGCCGGAAGCGTCCCTGTGGAACTGCCTTTGTTGTGTCTCTTGGGCTTGTGATGAAGACACTCATGCCTTTCTTAAAGTTCGAAGCTCCTCTAGAATGAAGCCTCCCATCTGCAAGATTTTGATTTCTTCTGTCAGGTTGCAAACGCGGGAGCAGGCCCAGCTTGCTGCGCAGAGGTTGGATGGATTCGTTCTCCTCGGAAGTCGGATCACAGTGGAGTTCGTCGATGACGGCTTGCCCAAGCCGCAGCCACCCGGATCCCGACGTGTGACTTGGAAACCGGATGATGAGCTTTGGGAGATTGTTGTTTTCTCGAGGTCGGAGACTGTGGAGACTTTGGGCCGGCGGGTTCAGATGGGCGACTTCTACACGTCATCCGACGCCCCGGGTCAGCGCAAACACTCTCGGGGAGGCTTCGAGGCTGCCATGAAAGTGGAGCTTGCCCTGGAGAAGAAGCATGCTCCACAGGCATTAGCTGGTGGTGTTTCACCTGCGGACTGACCGAGATGGCAGTTCGGGACAGAAAAGGAGCTGCTTGATCCTCTCGCCCCAACTCATCTTTAATGACCTTCCAATAGCCAATAGCCAAATATGCCGAAGTATGCCAGGTGCCTTGGCAGCGGCTCCCTTCCGAGCTCCCGCCTCCAACGAGTTTGGAGCTGCTCTGATGTTGGCGGGTACACCAAGCATCAGCGGCCTGGAGCCTTGAAAACGATCCCTTCACGTTGCCACCCCTTCCTGAAGCTAAGGCTTGACTGCTACCTTCGAGGCCACGAAGCCAGGAAATATGTGGGCTGCCGTGGTGAGCCAGGCCGACGGATCCGACGGGCTGCCACAGAGCTGCAGCTGAACAACCACAAAAAAAGCCTTGACAGGCCAATGCGGCTTCTGTGACAGTGGCAACAGCAAAGTCCGCACAGATGTGGGCGCCAGGGACCTTGGAGCTCTTTCGCCCTAAATCTGTGGCCCCTTCATCGTCCAAGGTATGGGGCCCTATCCTGCCGGAAGATTCAGGAGGCAATGCTCGCTCAGCATGCCAAGATATGCCAAGCATGTCAAGCTCCTCCATGTGTGCTAATCGAAGGCCGTGGCTGATGGAACACTCACGACGTTGTCGCTGACAGGTTGCTCGCTGTCCGCTACACAGCTGTGTGGAGCAAGTCGTGAGCTGTGGATTGGCCGCAGCTTGTTCTTCCTTGGATCCTCTGACTTCTTGTTCTTCACTCGGGGAGTGGGGTGGGCTGGTCGCGATGGAGGCGTAGCGATTGTCGTTGCTGATGTTCTTCTGATGTGCCAGCCGTGAAAGCATTTGCTGGCGTGCTCGTGGCCGAAGTGCGGCGCGGGCTCTCTCAGTACTTCGTTGATTGGCTGTGCGTTTTTGTTGCCAAAAACATGCGAAAACCGCATTTTAATCTGAGCCCTTGGCGTGCGGCCTGGGCCCGGGCGGGGTCAACTCTTTTTCCATGTTAGAGGCGCCTTTCGCATCTGTGCCGCCGTTACAAGTGCATCCGCCTCCCAATGCATCCACCGAGGGCTTCCATCCTTCAGTCCATCAAAGCTTGAACAATCCCCACGTGCATTGCTTACAAGGCTTAGTGCATTCTATTCCTTCATATTCCTTCCTGGATTCCTGGAACAAGAATTACGCACAACTGCTGTGCCATCTGCCTGTGCATCCGTCTTCCACGGAGCATCATGCCACCTAGCACAGCGAGCAAGACAAGTTCTGGTAGCTTCTTCGTTGGAGTGCATTTCCTTTTTTCATGCTACTGAATCTGTGTGACGGCTGAAGCGTTTGGCTAGAGTCAAGTGTATTGGATCTCTAGCGCGGCCCGCCCCGACCAAGTCTGCAAGGACTTGCGCCTTGCATTCCCTGCTGGAGCTTGAGCAGTTTTCAGGGAAGCCGGTCTGAGGGCAAGGTAGATGAACAACAGGAAGCTGGACCATAAGGCTCCGTGCCTTCGCCGAGTTCTGTTGCAGACGTGTGCAAAGCTTTTCAGACTTGCAGGATGAAGCTCCTGCTGCTCGGCACATTTGCAAGTGCAAGGGATCCTAGGACAAAAGGTGGTTCAAATGGTTCCAGCCAACGTTAGCCCAGCTTGTGGGTAGAGGTCCAAGACTTCTAGCCGTACGGTACATATCCTGGGTGCTTGAGACGTTAGAGTTGAGACTGAGGGTATCAGAGGAGGGTTGGTCACCCGCGCCTGATCTTACGCCTTTGTTGCTTGATCTGCCCTCCTCGGCCGGCCCCATCTGACCCAGCCTGAACGTGGTGGTTTTGCCTTCCGTCTTCATATCCTCACAGTACAGTGTTCAAGCTCGGAACAACCCCATGGTTCCGTCTAAGGCGAGTGGTTGCCGCCCTCTGGTTGCTGCCGGCCGTTGCGCTTGCGCAGGACTTTTTTGTGGTCAGATTTTGTAGAAACCATGTAGTCACCTCAAGAGCTGTGACGATGATTTAGGAGTGCCTTGGTGCTGAGGCACCCGTCTAATTTTCTCACAGTTTTCAAACAGACAGGATGATGCCGCAGAGGAGGATCCAGGCTTGGTTGGCCTGTTGTTGAGTGCATTTCTCACATCTTCAGCGGCAAAACGGATATCTTTGGCCGGCCACAAGAACCCTTTAAAACATCTTGCAGGCCCTCAGAAGCAAGACATGGGGCTTGGAAATCGAATCATGTGTCCCTATGGTGTCCATGGCACCCTATCTTGAGAAACCTGCAAATGAACATGTGCCACACCATGCAGACGCGCCCCCTGACTTTGACGAGCTGCTGGGCGAGATTGACGAGAACAAGGAGCCTGTCAGCAGGGATGGTTGAAGCTAAGCAAAACTGTCAATTTTCAGGCATAAGCCGCTGAAAGCCTGTTGGGGTTCCTCAAAGGAACTTCATAATTTCATACTTGTCATAGTTGGTGCAAACACACCATCCCAAAAGCCAAAACCAAAATTACCGCGTTGGTGTGCTTTTAATAGCCAAGAGACATCCTGCAGCTTCATTCGCAACAGCATTCTAGGATCCTGCGTGCTGTTCAGGATGGAAAGGTCTCATGGGAAGAGATGTTTGGAGGCAGTATGGAGTCGAATTCTATGCGAAAGTGGTCAAACGTTCGAACATACATTGCTGGATCTGCCTTCAGCATCTCAGTTTCGCGCTGCTGGACTGTAGCCAGCAATTCCGCTTGACGTTGCTCTGTGCGCAGCGAAGCGCATGTGGCTTGGGAGGTGTGGATGCGGACGGGGAGGGCATGCCGCCAGACATGAAAGCGAAGTACCAAGGAGTGTACAAGGCCAGGGAGCTTTCCGCTGTCGTTTGGACTTTACGGCAGTGCTTTTGCCATAGTTCGTACGGCTAGGAATGCGATGCAGACGGGGATGGTCACATCAACCGGGAGGACAGCCAGTTTGCCGCCCAGCCTTGGCTCTGAAGATCTCGTCTCTGAACTCCAGGAACTCCCAGTTCTCTTTGACAAGTTGACGGCCTTGGAGGAGTGCTCCGTTGCAAGCGGCTTTGAACCTTCCTTTGTGCCCAATCCAGGAGGAAGAAGGGGTTCTCGACGAAAGGGATGAAGTGTGAGCCATGCTGCGTTGAGCCTCATCTTTAGATTGCTTCTTCGCAACGCCGAAGAAGAAGACCGAAGACCTGATGTTTTCTTGGTCTAGAGCTGAGCACCGCAAGATCTTTGTTTCATGTTGTTGGTTAATTGATCTCAGCGAGGCATATGGTCAGCTGCCTTTTTGGCACTCTAGCGGCGAATTGCCCACTGCTCACCGATCTTCAAAGCAACATTTCATTTGGGGAACCGGGTAAGACTTGCGAACGCGCGTTACAAGCTTGTGAGCATTTGTGAGCAACCATGTTCCCGTAGCCGTAGCCGTGATTCCACCGGTTTTGTGCTCGTATGGGTGGAGTTGGCCCCAGCCTTGCGAGCGGCAAATTGTCTAAGAAGAGCCGCGAAGGGAAGGCTTCAAAGGAAAACAGGGCGAGTGCTCAAAGGAGGGTCCCTCTATACCCCCTAGCAGGCCCTAGCATGACTGGATACTTCTGGTGACTGGGAGATCCAGCTGATATCTTGAGGCCCTACAGCACAACCCTGAAACTCTTCGCCCGGGGCTCAGCCTCAGGACCAGCCGATTTCAGTAGAAGGGAGAGAGCGGTGGCGCGAAGTCGGCAGTATATCAGCCAGGTTTACATTGAAGATGCGAACATGATGGGAGATGGAACGCTCTCAATGGTGGACGTGCAGGTGGGTTCCTCAAAGCATTCGGTACTTGCATGCTGCTGATGCGCAGAATGTTAAGGTTCCTGGCTCCACAATCTTCACGACTGCTCCGGCCATCAGTGGAGTGCACGTTTCTCAGGGCAGACCTTGGCGGCGTGAGCACTGAAAACCCTTCGTCTTCCTCCCTCCACAAAGGCCAACAGCAACAAGTGTGACCTACAGCTATACTGTGGCCCATGATGCCGGCGCCACGATTGGCCCATGGCCCCAGTGCTTCCGCCATGCTCCTTATAGCTAGCTTCGTGAAAAAGAGCTGCTCAACGGCACTGCGTGCAAACACAATTTAACGATGCGTGGGACACTGGCGGGAAGCAAGAGTAGTTTGTAGTAGCCGTGGCGCTGGCGGTAGTCGTGTGAGCATGGTACTGGTCTGACGCCGGAGTACTTGTAGCAAAGTGGTTACACTCTTTGCCGCAAGGCCTGATGTGGGCCTCTATTGGCACACCTGCTGCTGCGGCAGCGCTCGACCTCGTCTCTGTGAAGGCGCTCGCATGGCAAGAACAGTAGGCATGACAAAGACAGCAAGGATGGCCAAAACAACGGGAACCATGCAAGTTCTACTACGTTAGTTCCCCGACACAACATTCATGATGCATGATGTGAGGAACGCATGAGACGAGGTGTAAAGTCCAAGTGCTCGCACGAAGACACATATGAGAACTGCCCTTTTCTTTTTGTTCTTGCGCAGCTCGCGACTGGCATGGTCTGCGGCGTCTCCGGCGAGGCCGAAGGGATTTGAGAAGGTTCAATTTCAAAAGAGGTACGCGCCTGATCCATCCGCAGGCAATTGGTACCGGTGCGCTCTCCAAGACCCTCACAGGTGGGTTTCTACTATTCTACCCTTGACAAAAGACAAAGGAACACCAGTACTTAGCTGACCCCTTATCCTGTCTTACTCCCGATGGATTTGAAGGCTTCCTGTGAACATCGGATGTGTGAGGATCCGATGGCTGCAGCCTTGAGCGCGGTGTCGAGCGGGAGACTTTGTGCACTGTGGCATCAACCTGAAATGTAACCAGCGCAGTATCTGCAGCAACTTCCCTAAACCCGAGGCTGCTTGCCTGAGGTTCAGGAATGTCCAGTATTGTCGGTCCAATACAAAGACGCGATGAGACGTCATGACCAAGTTCAGATCCTTTTTATCGCTTTCGCTCTCCAAATTTGAAAAACAGTCGGTTCGCGCCTGTTCCTTTTCAAAACTTCTGTTTTCTTCAGGTAAAACGGAATGCTGCTTAGCAGTCGTAGTTCCAAGCCGCAGTGGGTTCACTGTTTGATCGGACACTTGGTCACTGTCAGGTTGTCCAAGCATGTAGTGGGCTTCTTTTTTGCACACAAACGCACAATTCTTATCCATTTGTTTGGGATAAGCCCGCTGCTCGTCTTTGGTTTCAACAGTACCTTGGTGGCTCCAGGGAACACAGCTGGCCGACATCTTGAAGGGCAAGCATCAACACAGATTTTTGTGCTCATGCATGGAAGTCATGCTTCGGGGTAGCGGAGGAGCAAGAGCTCCAGAGTTGTTGTGGCTTTTGACAAGCTTCGCACACAGCAAAGCCGCCAGATGCGCTGAGATACCACCTCGTGGTCTACGTTGAGTCATCCGGAAACACGGGAACACTGTCGGCACCTGTGCCCTTCACCGCTAGATGCTGAGCAGGAAAGAGATGGTGTGGATAAATGGCAAAGCTTACGACGTCTCCCAGATTTTGCAAACAAGGTGCCGACATCCAATAGCTTCTATGTCGTCGCTGCCTCTACTCTTTGCTAGCTCGTGTGAAAGAGGTGTCCCTTAGGCTCTAAAGCTGCATTGGTCCTTCTCCTGGTCTGAGGATCCGTTGGCCTCGAACCCGACCTCTGCAGGCAGGGCGCTGCAATCCTTTGAGGCCCCAGTTTCCTCCTGGCTCTGGTGCTAGGTGTGGACATCCTGTTCGCTGTTCATGCTGCGGGCAATGCTTGGGGCGTGGTGGCACCGCACACAGCACTGACATGGAGCTTGCTCTTGACATGCATGTATTGCACAACTACGGCGTATGCGACGGCCAAAGGTGGCACAGGCTGACGTGGGCTCAGTGAATGTGGGCACCATCAAGTCTGGCACCGGCAGCGCCCTCACGGAACAGGAGAATGTGTCCGATGGTGCCTTGTGCAGCAGCAAGGTGCGTACGGTGGAGTTTGCCTTGTGGCGAACCAGGCCAGCCCATGGCACGAGCCTGCCAAGTGAGCCAAAAGGTCTGTGAATTCGTGAGGCGATCACTGCAGGGAGCATGCAGACGATGTCCTTCACAGGCTGCTCCCTGGCCCGGCTCTTGAGATCCTCACAACTCCAGAAGCAGCTTGTCCACAAAAGTCCTTCCTTCAGGTCATGGCCACAACTTACAAGGCATTCATTTATGTGGAGGCGCCAGCATCTTCCCGTGAAGTCTGGGAGGTTTGCAGTGGGCATGTTTCAAGGATGGTAGCGGCCTGGGCGACGGCACCCTCTCCGGTGCCGTGGATGTGGCGCTCGCTGCATCGAACATGTTCCAGATTTCGCCATATGAGCTCAGGCCCACTGGCAGTTAGGGCTGGAGCTGTAAGAGGATAACATCCTTTCAGTCAGGACTCCCTTCCCAGCCACGATCAGCTATTCCTTTGCGCCGGTCTACAACGGCAAAGCTTGGGCAGGGCTCTCGAATATATTCCTGAACACTATCACTGCATATTTCTGTATTTTTCTGTATGTTCTTGTTTTGTTAGCTGCTCCAGCAAAGGCCATTTTGACCTCCAACATGGCCGCGCGCACTCCGGCTGAGATCAAGGCCGCCAGCTGCGCACGGCATCTTTCCGCCGCAGAATTGCACATACCATGATTGTAATAATGCTGGCAGTAATATCATAGTACTAATAGTAATGCCAGTACTACGGGTAATTGAAATAATAGTACTAGTAGTAATTATATATAGTTATAATGATGGAGTCTTAGCGGGCCTTCTCAGGCGCTGTACATGGCATCGGGCGGTTCAACCTGCAACGTGCAGAACATGGACGTGCAAGCTGGGTTAGAAAGCCTGCACCCAAGTTTGGCAGTTTGGCGCGGCTACTTCGTGGCCTTCAAAAAAAGTAGTAGACAACCTGCTGCGCAGGTGAGATTGGCAACTTTACGTGCGCTCTCTCAGCCAGTCAAACATACAAGCTCCACGTCTACGTTGAGGACTGCTTCTCCGTGCAAGGTAGCACAAAGATCGCCTATGATCGCCTCAGCCGCCTGATTTTGGTCCAACCTTACGTTGGGGTGGTCTTGGGAGGGTCCAAGCAATCACTGGCGGCTTCATAAAAGCAATCGCTCCTTGACCGCATCCGCCAGCTGATTGCTGGACATGCCACGTGGTTGTGGGCGCGCAGTGCGTCATCTGCGGCCGAAAGCAGAAGCACACATCATCGCTGCCAATAGTTCTTGTCATCGGATTATCGCTGCTACCAAGCAGACTTCTCATCGGAGTAGGTGTCTCGCCTGTTGTTCCTGTTCCTGGTAGGGATCAGGGGATCTGCTGACGCAATCCGTGTTTTGGGGATTAAGGTTTGTCAGCCACAAGTTCTTTGTGGATTTCGGTACGTATCTCGCTCACTCCTGAAGTCTTTTTGAGGGATCAGGATGTGTCACGCTGCACTGGAGGGCGAAAGCTGCCACAAGCGATTTGACTCAAAACGCTAGGCCAAGATCAGTCACCAGCAGTAAGTGAAGCATGTAACCGTCACATGTGATTCAACAAAGATACTCACAAGCGATTGCAGCTACAGTCCAGAGGAAGGATGAGGGGGTGGGCAATCAACATCTACTCTGAAATCAAAAGTCTCCTCGGCCGCCTAGCCCCAACGGCTTTTTGGGATGAATTAGGAATGACTATAAGACAAACCCATGTGGAGCCAGGATTCAAATGGAAATAACGATGGAACCGTCGAGACAGTGATGGTCAATGCTGCCACCCCAGAGCAAGCTTGATCTGGTCGCAGACGTAGCCATTGCTGTGAAGCCTGTGAAGGGTCTTGAGATGAGGTGGCACCCTTGACGGCCCCAAACTTCTTCCAGGTCTCAGTCAGATGTGCGAGATGCCTGCAAGATTTGCTGTTTGGCCTTTACCACTTTGCCAGGAGAGCCCCAAGCTGGTCTCCGTTGTAACCGGCAACGGCTTCGATGTGACATACCGACTCGTCGGTGCCTAGAAATTGACCAAGCTCGCTGGATCGGCGCTCCGTGCATGAAAAAGGCCAGCGCTGGTCGGCTGCATGCGATAGTGACGGCGCAGGGTGTAAGCGTCAGCTGGAGCCTCTAGGAAGCACTGGAAAAGTGACACAGACGCTTTTCCTGTGCCGAGGTGTGGCCTCCTTGCTGATGGGGACGGATGCGGTGGGGGATGCCTCCTGCAGTGCCTTGCTGAAAGTGGTTGCTTCGATGGGATTGCCTGCCTGGTAGTGCTTTCGCAAGGCTTCCTGCCACAGGATGGAGTCGTGCAGAGCGTCACTACACTTCAGGCCCGGCAGGTCGTGATTTTTGTAAATGCGCTTTTTCCTTCAGTGACTCATCGTGCCCAGTCCCTGAACCTCACCGGCTGCGGCCTGCTGGGAGGAGCGGGCATGGTGTGTGGCATGCACGGGTGTGAGGTAGATGACGGAAGCACATGATGCTAAGATGCTTGAACAAATTGCTGCAAATTTTTCGGCTCCACACAGGCGAAATGTTGCCTTAAAGGGTTTGGCTTTGAGCATGTCGCAGAAGGATGCGCAGGTGGCGAAGGCCAAGGAACTGCATGGAGCGATCCAGCAGATGACGGAAAAAACCGAGGCCTTGGAGGCGGAGCTCAAGGCTTTGGCGGAGGAAAAGACACAAATCGAGAGAGATCTCAACGTTTGCGCCAGCCGCGCCCAAGCCCTCCAGGCCCAACTGCCGCAGAAGGCGCGATATTGCTTCTCTCTCTTTTTTGCGTGTCTTTCCCCACCCATCTTCTTGCGTGTGCAGCATGCGTGGGAGGCCATGGAGCTGAAGCAGCTCGAGCAGTTGGAGCAGCAGAAGGAAGCCGAGTACATGAAGATGCTTGAAGCCACGCCGACGCTGGTACAGGTCTTGAAGAAGTGATGCAAGGCCCTGGCAGAGCTGCGAGCGCTCGGCCTTCTTGACTCCTCCAGGTCACTCTGGACATCATTGGTCGCTCCTCGCGATGCGAGAGCCAAAAAGTCGATGTAATTGCAACACGCAACGCGCAACAGCTTCCCAGAGTTGGTTCCGTTCTTCACTTCTACCCCGTTACTGTGCAATCCTACGGCGCTCCAGGAACCAGCTACGAGCTCTGGGTGTATGCGGACGACATGCCCGGAGGAGTTTGGCCGCGTCCTTGGACAGTGCTAGTGCTGGGCAGATAAAGATAAAGCCCATGTTTGTCGCCGAAAAGCTACGCAAACCGCATCCAGCCAGGCCGACAGGATCAGCTGCCACAGATGGCGTCCTCTTCGGGCCCATGGTGATCAGCGTTCCCCTTTCCAACAGTGGCCTGGCTGAAACCTGTCCAACAAGACTGTTGCTTTCGATCATGTTCGATCCGAGGCTTGGCCGATCCGCCACAGATCATCTCCGTCAGCGGCTCCACTGTCACGGTGGAAGTCAACACCACAGCAGCTTTAGGCCATGGCGTGCTTCAAGCTGCCTTTTTGGGAGAACGTCGGATGCAGCAGGCAGCGCCTGGCTGACGGTGTATCCAACTACGACCACTGTTGATGTCCCAGCTGCGCTGGCTCCTGAGGGGCTGGGAGAGCGACATCTCTTCTTCTCAAGCAGGTAGGGAAGAACAGGAGGAGGAAGAGGGAGAGAGAAGGAAACAAGAATGCCTAGCATGAGTGGCTCTCAGCATTTCAAGGCTAAGATATCTCTCAGCCTCAGGAGGAACGTGACCACAGCCATCTGCGGGGTGTCCGCCGTCCAGGCGGGTGCATGGGCCAGTCAGCCATGATCCACCACGGGAATATCTTCGACATCATTAGATTTATCATAAGATGTCCTAAGCTTTCATGAGATTTCATTCGTTGCTGCGGACTGCGCAGATTGATTCCGCCACCACCGCGCAGCTGTCGGCTACCAGTTGCGAGCTGGTTGGAGGCATCTTGATAATGTGACTCTTACATGGTCAGATGTAAGAACAACGGAGTGTAACTACAGTAACATCCCCCTTATTCCCTACTCACCGCGAAAAAGTTAAATTGGGTTAGTGTGAAGACGTGCCAGGCGTGCAGTATCAAGTTGCCATCCTGGTAGAGGACACCTCGGCCTTGCACTTTTGGCATACACAGAACTTTTTCCGAGTGATTGTAATACTTAAGTAGTACGAACAGTAATAGAAGTGATAATGGTAATAGTACTGTAGTGATTTCATACGTGCGTCAAGGAGTTGTTGCGCGTGACAGGACCGCGATAACAGCAATGATGGTCAGCTGACAGCCCCTGGCCTGGGTGTCGTGCAGCGCAGTCTTCTGAGTCGTGAGGGCAGCTCCCAAAACTAGGGTCCCATTATGGTACCCCTAAATATTAGGTGCCGTGATATAACCAAAAGGGGCCCACAGTTTTAAGAACAGCCCATGTTTTTGTGGCTTTTCAGGTGTTGACCGGATCTGTGGTTGGAGCTGTTCCTATCTCGATCCTTGGCTGCTGAGCCGAGCGTGGAACAACGCATTGAGGTTGAATGCCATACTGTAGGCTGTTCTATTCTAAAGGCTGGATCAAACTTGATCGCACGCTCGATTGAGGAATCGCTTCACAATGACACCGCGCATCTCAAGCCGCTGCCTGTTCCCCTCATGACGTAGTGTGTTAAGCCCGCACACATGCAAAGGCTCGGTGACAGAAAGCGGTTTGTGGGTGACGTTCTCCGCGGCCTATGCCGGAAAAGGCCTTTGAAGTCTGCAAGATCTGAACATCCCAAAATGCTTTGCAGCTGCCAGGCTACATCTACGTGCTGAAAGATTCTGCGCCAGCCTTCGTGGACATTGTGTCACTGCCGCAAACTTGGACTCTAGCGAGCGAAGAGCGCCTCAGATTTCTTAGAATGGATTATGGGTAGTGCCAATTTATGAGGAGATCTGGACTTCCCAGAGACATCATGTGCAGCAAGATGATGATGGCAGAGCTGGGAAGGGGGTGCGCGGGCTTAAGGCTTCGCTGACCCTGTGCCAGGTGTCTGCCGCGGAGCAGAGCCATGAGATATCTGACTGCGTGCTGAGCTATTCCATGACCTACAAGGCTCTTTCCGAATGCGGCATCTTCTTCTTGTGCACGTTTGCGGAAGCGCTGATTCAGGTGTATGTCTATGTTGCAGACTCCATGGCCCAGACAGATGGCACCCTGCCGGGACCTTAGACTCTTCGCTGCCAGCGCTCATGCTCCTGCAGCAGCAAATGCTTGTGTGGACAAGCGGATCTACTCAACGCTGGGCTGTTATGCGGATTGGCGCAGTGGAGATGTCCTTTGCACAAATGGACTTCAACTTGAGCAGAATATGTGCTCAACTAGGTAACAGCCCCGGATTCATGCCCTCAAGTTCCCACATTATCAGATCATCAGAGCAACGTGCGCCGGCTGCATGCTGTGAAGCTGAAGCCAAAGTCAGGAATAAGCTCACGGCTTTCTTTAACTTGAAATTTTCTTTGGAGCTTACAGTTTGCCATGTCCTTTTCAGATGCAACAGCACCACTGTTGCCAGGTCCGCTGGCCTGCCAGCCATGGTGGTGCCGGGCGAGTCCAACTACTTCACCCAGGTGCTTCATGCGCTCTTGTAGCCCAAGTCACCCCTCTCAAGAGGGCCCGGACCCGCCGTGCGCAGGTGCCTCAGCTGAGCGTCGTCACGACCGCAAGCTTCAGCGTAAGCTTCTCCGCCTGGACTCCCGGTGGTTTTATTTTGACCCGTGCCCTGTCAATTCATGCGGGCTGCTAGGTGGCTGCTGCAGGCGTTGCCTGGGTCATTGCCATTCCAGCAGCAGAGGCCACGTCGGCCGCCCAGGTCGTTTCGACACAGCAATTGGAATCAGAACAGTTCCTGCTGCGCTGCAGCGCCTGAATCCGCTCAGGTCTGCGAGCGCAATGACTGTGACGAGTGGCTTCAGTGCCATCTGCGCGGTTCTGAAGCCGAGGTCCCAGCAAAGAGAGTCCAACCCGGGATGATCCCAGGCTCACGTTTGGGTGTCACACTCGCAAGCCCCGGCAGCCAAGCCTTCATCCCAGATTCAGATGCCAGCAGACGGGAAGTATAGGAAGATCATGGACAGCCTGCGCATGCCCACACAGTCTAAAGGTGCTTCCTGTCACCGGCTGCAGTTTTACAGCAAGTGCGGACCCCGGTTTCAGATCTCTGGCATTCTCATGCATTCGGCATGTGTTTGGGCAGACACTGGTAATTCACAGGCTGGAGCTATGCCGTCCTCGTATATGTCACGAACCAAGCCGGCGGAAGCGACGGCGCCCTCTCCCCACCGGTTCCGCTTCAAATTGCGCCCGGGCTCCCGATCCAATCACAATCAGCGGGATGTTTTGGGAGCCATGAAAAGCCATGAGGCCATCCAACGACTTCCTGGTTCTGCCGTACTTGACGGAGGTCCCTGCACGTCCTCTTCTGGTGTCCGGTGATGGGAAGACTGGCATGCAAGACTTGAAGGTGCCTTCGACAGACACGGTGAAAGCCAAGCTGATGGGCAAGTCCTCCACAGGAGCCGCAAACCCCACAAAACTGCAAGTGGTAGCTAATGCTGGCTTGTAGCTTGAAAGGCAAAGCCTGGGCCTGCATGGTGAGAGCTGAGAACGTGAGTGACATGACGGTCAGTGCCGGGGGCCATAAATTGTGGAACAGAGTCACCCTTCTCAAAGCTCTCGACGTGGCCGTTTGGATGCTCAGGACGTGAAGGCTGGCTGTACCGGCTGCCAGTCTGGGGAGGTGGGCGCTTTTGGGGGCAGGGATAATTTGAACGTCGGGGACAAGACAGTGACAAGACTATAGACCAAACCTGCCGCATGATGGCCAACAGGGTGAAGGGCAGCTTAAGTCAGAACCACAACGAGCAGAAAGAAATGGAATAGCTTTGATGAGAATGCACGAGGTAATGTTGACCAACACCGAAGAGTTGGAGATCAACATGACGGGCTGCGCTTTGGAAGTGGGCGCCTGGACCTTGGAGCATTTCTGCCAAATCGAGCGAGATGGCGAATATGCTGTGGCTGGAGGGCTCTTTCAGCCTGCGTGCTTGAAGGGACACCTTTTCCTTCTTTTTGGGAGGGGATGCTGACCAAAATCCGCCAAAATCCCGTCAATCACTATTGACATCTTAGTGCCTGGCCCAAGGTGGAGCATCGACTCATTGCCTATGCAGAGGTCACACTTTTCAAAATGCTTTCTAGTGCCCTCATCTGAAGCACGGACGCTAATAATACTAAATATAACAAAACTGATAGTAAGAACAGTAGTGCATATAGTAAGCATGATAAAGAGTAGTAATAATAGTAGTAATACAGAGCATGGAAGGACAACAGCAATGCCAACGACGGCTACATGGCAACGTGTGCGCCTATTTCTTGTGCCGGCAAGGGCAATGCATCGGTTTCTTCTACCTGGTGCTTAGTAGGGAATCTGGGAATGAATCCCTCTTGTGGTCCCATATAATTCCCTGTAGTAGTCTCTAGTCCTACAATTCATTCTCCCATTCCCTAAAAAAGCACCAGGGAGTTTCTCAGGAACCTAGCCGTCCGCGTTCCAACCTCAAACGCCTTCGTGTCGCCTGCAGCTGCCTCAGGTAAGTCGCCCCCACCCCAAGCCACATTACAAGTACAACCATGCAGAACTCAACATTCTTCATCCCACTCTAGCTTCACCGAGGGTCCCACTCATGTGTGAGGATTGGAGAACCTTACAAGACCACGAGAAACGAATACAGCACCAGGCCAAAATCGTTGATGGCATGGTCACGCCCTACGGCTGCTCTGTGGAGTTTGAGGCTTCTCTGAGTCCGCGCCCTTCACCTGCCTCCTTGTTGTGCTTGCAGGTGGCCAACCCCATGGGCAAGGCAAAGAGCCTTCGCACCGCCAGCCGTGCAGGGCATCATTCCATGGCTCCTGTCTGAGAGGTCTGGGGACGAGTGGTTGATGCTGGGCATGCGAACCTGGTGACAGTGGATGTGATCAAAAACAACAACCCAGCTTGGCACTCAGTCTGATGCCTGGTGCCTATAGTGCAAGCAGTTCTACACACGTACCGCAAGGCCATCGCCGTTGGAGGCCTGAACCTTCTGTGCATTGTGGCCTCAGGGGCAAGTGAGGGGCTTCTTGTCCTTGCCAGCACCGGCATGCCACATGGTCGACGAGACGAAGCCGCGCGGCAAGCACACGATGGTCTTTGACTCGCAGTCGCCCCAGGTTTAACTTCAGCAGATGCAGGTCTTCCGTTGAGCCAGCCTTGAAGGTGTAACCTCACCAAGGGCACCACCTATCAGGCCCTCATGTGGCCCTGACATTCCCTCATGTGACAGCCTTGAGTGGATAAAGGGGTTTCCCAGAATTAGATGAATCGGGTTACAGCCCGCTTTTTGGGCACTACCACAGCCTTGGCCCTTGGCAGGTCTATTTGTACGCCGAGGACATGAGCAACGGCAACGACGGAATGCTGAGCGAGGCGAAGCTCGAGACATCGAACCCCATACTTCAAATAAAGTTGAGTCTACGAAGTACTAGAATTGCCAGGAAAGCTCCATTACAACTGTATTCTTAGTACTGTTGGTATTCCCCGTAATAAAAGGTTGGGGAGCACAAATTGAGGCAAATACGGGTTGGCCCTGTAGTACGAGGCCATCACGTTCACCGTCCCACCCTCAAACTGGCTGGACCAGAAGTTGGAGCTGACAAGCACGCCGACAGCTGGACACTTGGTCCTACTTGCATGTGGAGCGTCGTAACTGCACTGCTCGTGAGGTTGATGGTGTGTCCTTCTCCTTTGCGGGTGGAGTTGCTGTAGGCAGAGCCTGGGTCGGAGCTTCAGAACGCGTTGGAACCTGTGACTCAAGTCAACTCCTGGTGTGCTCTGCGCAAAGCCTCGAGGCCCAAATCGTGCTCACAAAGGATGTGCCATTGGCAACAGCAGCCAACATCAAGGCCTGTAGTGTTCTGAAATGCATCAGCTTGGTGGCGTCTTGCTTTGACCAGGCGGCTACGTATGCCATGGGCACAGCTGCCTGCCAGCAGAACGATGTCAACGTTGGAGCCAGGATCTCAGATGGGCTTCTGCTTGGCAACGTGAAGGGGCAAGTAGCGAGCTTGATAAGGATCCGATTCTTTTTAGGGGGTCCACTAAAATGAACTAGAGCGGGTACCCTGATGCACCTTTTCACCGATGGGGGGGGGGGAGAACATGGCAAGTGCAGTTTTTCTTGGGATTTCGTACCTTCCCCCTCAGCCCCATGTTGTTTTTGACGGGATTCCAACCACTGGCCTCAACACAGTACAATTGTTGACATTTGGTTTGCCGAGAGCTATGGGTGACGCGTCACTCACAGCCCACTTTCGGTACTTGCTCACTCTATCTTGATGTATTGTAAGGCGTTCTTTCGTTTGCGTGGTTCATGATCAACATGAGGAACACAAAAATCGCCAGAAACATGATCCCAGTACAAAACGCCCTCAAACCATACGTCAAGAACAACAATTGCAAAGAAGCACGAACATACCAACATCCTGCAAGAGTCTGTTTCTGCGTTCCGCCGCAAAGCCTGGGGCGGCTAACGCAGTCCGGCAGTGCTCGCATTTTGCATCTTTAACGGTGTTGCTATGCGAATCTTTAGACCGAGGACGAGATGACACAGCATCCACTTTTGATGGGGCATTCGGCTTTGCGAGGGGAACTTGCTGAGATGGGGGGGGAGGAAGGTTGAAAAGCGAGATCGCTCGAAAGAACACCATAAAGAGGAGCATGTGAAAACCTTGCAAGGGCATTTATCCGGGGGGCTTCCTGGATTATAGGGCTTTGTACGACCTTATAATAAGAACGAGAACAGCAATTTAGTAGTGGAACTGCTAATAACCAGATCTATAACAGTAAGAATCAGAATAGCATTCATAAACATACTAGCAAGAATAGTTCTAAGGCTTTTACACAAAGTTTTTAATGCATAAGAGCCATAACAGTAACATTGGGCCCAGGGGTGCATTTTTTCTAGTAATACAGCAGTAGTATGAGTAGAAGTAGTGATGAACAGCAGCAAGGACACAGGGATCTTGATGTGCTTTCGGGAGCTGGTGCCCAGCGCCCCCGGCCGGAGGCCCCGGGGCCCCAAAAGGGGGAACATTCTTTAAAACGTTAAGGTATGTTGATTTAAAAACAGGT